GCGGAGTCAAGCGCATCTCGGGGCTGATCTACGAGGAGACCCGCGGCGTGCTGAAGGTGTTCCTGGAGAACGTGATCCGCGACGCCGTCACCTACACCGAGCACGCCAAGAGGAAGACGGTGACTGCCATGGACGTGGTCTACGCCCTCAAGCGCCAGGGACGCACCCTCTACGGCTTCGGCGGCTAAATTCGAAAAAGTCATAAAATTTACACCAGTAAAACCACCAAGGCTCTTTTCAGAGCCGCCCACAAATTTCACAACGAGAGCTGTTAATTGCTGATTTTTGGGTTAAAGTCGTGGTAGACTTAAAATGTGAAAATATTCTAGTCGTGTACTTTGGGAATCTGCAGTGTGGTGCAAAATAAAATCTCCAAACGTCTAGAAAAGGCGGATATTTAAGAAACCCGGTGTGCTAAGATGGGAGGCGTTACGTAATTTACCTAGTAAACGTAAACTCCGTGCAGCAATTGCTGCGTACTTACATAATTTTGCTATTTAAAGCAGTACTGCCTAAACAGCAAAGCACAACAACGGTACAAATGCAGTGCCTGTGACTGTCACGGAAAGGAAGTGCCTCAAACTACGTTAGTATTTTTTACTCCAATAGGAATGGAACGATTACAATCCTCTAATTTGCATAACACCGGTATAAATAGGGGGGGGCCAGGCGCCATTTTCGATATTGTTGAGCTACAGCGAAGAGATTGGAAAAAAAACATTAGGCATGCCTGAGCCGGCCAAGTCTGCTCCAGCACCTAAAAAGGGCTCTAAGAAGGCTGTCACCAAAACGCAGAAGAAGGGTGACAAGAAACGCAAGAGAGCAAGGAAGGAGAGTTACTCCATCTACGTGTACAAGGTGCTGAAGCAGGTGCACCCCGACACGGGCATCTCCTCCAAAGCCATGAGTATCATGAACTCCTTCGTCAACGACATCTTCGAGCGCATCGCCGGCGAGGCGTCTCGCCTGGCGCACTACAACAAGCGCTCCACCATCACGTCGCGGGAGATCCAGACGGCCGTGCGGCTGCTGCTGCCCGGCGAGCTGGCCAAGCACGCCGTCTCCGAGGGCACCAAGGCTGTCACCAAGTACACCAGCTCCAAGTAGAAGGATTTTAAATTAACCCAAACGGCTCTTTTAAGAGCCACCACACCCTCCTAAAGAGCTGTAATTGCTAATACAATACGGGATTTTTTTCTTATGAATCACCTCAGTTATGCAAGCAAGTAACGCACATTCTATGAGATCGTAATATCATACAGCAGTTGAGTTAGTAATTGTTCATCAGTATCCTCAATTTGTAATGTGATTAGCAGCTCTCATTGTGAACTATGTAGGTGGCTCTAAA